TTATTGATAAATTTCCGAACACCTCCAAAGACTTTTCAAATTACCTCTCCCCTTATTAAAACTTCTCTCATACATTTTAATTTTAGTCAGAGTTCACTGGATGGGAGCCTATATGCACTTGAGAGGATAGCGGATGCCCACATGCACAGACAGGTTTCATTTATCTCTCACAGAGGAGATGGAAGGTGCTTCATTATAGAGAGAGAGAGAGAGAGAGAGAGAGAGAGAGAGAGAGGGAGAGGGAGTGAGAGAGATGCTAACACGCACATTTTGAAAGACTGAATCCGCTCTCCTCCTCTCACAAGCCGTTTCTCCCAGCATAGATGAGTGCCATTCTCTTTCAACCCTCTGAAGGTCAGATAAAAAACTGTTTTTGAAGAGTGTGAGACCGCAGAAATCTTCCTCAGAACATCCTCTAATCTAAGGGATAGGTTTCATTCCTAATCAAGCCATAATGAGATCTTCTGTCTGAGAGAATAAATATTTTCTTCAAAACTAGGCCATTACTTTCAGAACACATTTAATAAAGACAAGGAGGATCTCAGATTTGGTGGGGTTTTTGAACCACATGTCCGACTTTGTTCAATCTGGTTACAGAGGTAATTCTGGAAATGTTGGTTTCCACTTGGACAGGTGATTCTCAAACATTTCAGTCCAAGTACTACTTTCGATCAAATCAAAGCACCCAAATACTGCCTAGTCACCAAGCAGCATCTTAAAAACACACACACACACAAACCACAACAGCAACAATTAGAAGTTTTCTAATCCAATCAGATGATGTTATTTAGGATGTTTAGTCCATGTTAAATTTTATACCATCTATTTAAAAGCACTACTCTGTCTGGTTTCAATATCAATATGATACTCGAAACTGAGTGCTGAATCAGAGTCAGAAACAAACTAGCTTAGAGTCGGTGAGCTTAAATTTCCGTAAGTGAGCTTATAAAGGCAAGCAGAATAATATTTTGCCCTTTTGTTAATCGTCAGTTTTTGAGAACATTACCTATTTAAATTATGTGTCCAAATTAATACTGTAATTGTTTTATTTTGTAATTAGATATTCCAAATAAAACATGGGAAAATACTTTGAGTGAAATGTTCTGTTGAATTGTGCCATGAACTACCTGAGGACACTCAGCGCACAATTTGAAAACAACTGATCTGCACTATTCAAGTCAATAATTATAGGGAATTTTATGTGCATGCAAAGCAGGAAATGCAGACAAACATCTTCCCCTGGCGTCATCATCATCTTATAAATTCATTTACAGCAACTCTAAACATATTTACATCAAAATTAGTTTCCACAAAGGAGCATTTCAGGAGTGCATCAGCTCACCGTCGACGACTCTTCAGAGGCTTTTATTGGGCATCCTTTATCATCAGAAGAAAAGAAAATTTAAATGAAATGCATGTTTGACTACACCAAAGACTGATCTTTAACAGATTTGCAGATTTGTGTGTGTGTGTGAGTGTGTGTGTGTGTGTGTGTGTGTACTGGTATATATGGTTTATGAGGACACATATGTGTATAATGGCATGGGTACTACAACGTAAACATGGTTTATGAGGACACTTCCTGTGTCCCCGTAAAACAAAAGGTTTAAAAAATATACAAAATGGTGTTTTATGAAATTCAAAAATTGCCAATACTACTTTTCTGTAAGGGGTAGGTTTAGGTTGTGTGTTCTGGTATATATGATTTATGAGGACACAAATGTGTATAATGGCATGGGTACTACAACGTAAACATGGTTTATGAGGACACTTCCTGTGTCCCCGTAAAACAAAAGGCTTAAAAAATATACAAAATGGTGTTTTATGAAATTCAAAAATTGCCAATAGTTTTCTGTAAGGGGTAGGTTTAGGTGTAGGGTTGGTGTAGGGCGATAGAAAATACAGTTTGTACAGGATAAAAACCATTATGCCTATGGAGAGTCCCCGTAAACCACAAATGCAAGTGTGTGTGTGTGTGTGTAGGGTTTGGCCAGGGAGTCATGAATTAAAAATGGCCCAGTGAAACCTCAAACGTAAAATAAATATATAACCTAATGCATCTCGCAGAGTTTTTTCCCGCCAGCACTTGAGGCCAACGGTGGTCCCGGGGTCTTCCAACACGGGACGGGTTAAGTGATTCCAGCACCATGCAGGTGCATGTCGAGAGCAAACCACTTCCTGCACAACAGAGAGAGGCAAAGCTCTGCGATAAGGGGGGGATAATAACTTGTGTGCATTGAGTCTAGGAGATAGACTGCCCTCTGTGCATCTGGGCAGACAAAACAGGGACGAAAAGAGCAAACAAAAGCAGCTTTACTTTGATGTTGTTTCGTGTTCGGGTGAAATAAGTAACGTGTCACAGGAAGGCTAGTGTTTACCTGTGTGTTGGAACTCGTGTCACAGGTAATAAAGGAGATAATAAGATATCCACAAGCTTCCAGAACAAATACAGCAGCTGTGTTTTAGCAAGTAGCACCTGCTCGTAAAACACCTTCATAAAAGTATATACTATGAGTCAGAGTGAATGACAACCGAATTACGAAACCTTATTATGAATCCATCAAATGATTTACTTCTCAAAGGACATGTTCACACCTCTCGCGGCAGATGTTCTGTAACTACACCGCTGTGTTTAAAAGAAAACATAGCATGACTAACTAGAGACATATTCAGTCAAACACAGGACCCCAAACAGATTGTGATTTGTTTTGTACAAATCATTCGCAATTTAGGCTTATTACCCTGCTAGCACTGCAGTGTTTATCTACTTAAAGGGGTAGTTCACCCAAAAATGAAAATTTGATGTCACAGAATATGAAGAATATCAAAAACTTTAGGAGTCAGCTGTCCTTGAAAGTCCTTAAGATACCAGCATGATAACACACTCAGTCAGTTGAATGAATGAATGACTCAATGACTCGCTCATTAAGTGACTTGCTTTGTAGAGGTAAATATGCAGATTTAAGTATGTAAAAGCTGATAGAACACTGATGATAATATTGCTTCAGAATAAATTGTTTACTCCACCAAAAGTTTCAGTGATGCAGTTATTTTGTGGGGATATTTTGTATGGAATATTGTCTGCTGACATGAAAAGTTCACTGTATATCATGGTAATAAATACCATTTATTACAGCATTGATATTTTGTTTTCTTTTTAATTTATACACATTAAATATTACATATATGTATGTAATCAAATGTGTATTTGCATTACAGGTTTAGGTCTTAAATTTCATATAAGGTGGTATTAAAAAGGTCTTAAAAAGTCTTAAATTTAACTTGTT